CATACTGCCACCAAGTGCCCCACTGGGACTGTGCATACACTTGAATTTGACATGTTATATGAAGACCCCTTGTTCCCATCCAGTCACTTGGTGTTTGTGCCAGTTACAGGAGCATGCATCTTACCCATTTCACCCCACTCTGGGCCAGCCTTCCTTGCCTGATGACTCTGAGGCTGGTTGCTACGCCCCACTTTCTCCTTTATGCTTCCAGTACTCCTTGGGGAATACTTTCCCTGCCCAGAATCTCTCTCCTTCTTTCCTCAAGCCTGAAAAAGCTTATGTGGAGATCCTTTGTCCTGTCCCTCTATCTCCTTTTCTTTCTTTTTTTCTTTTTGGTATTTGGTATTGACCCAGGTGCACTCTACCACTGAGTCACATTCCGAGCCCCTTTTATTTAAGACAAAGTCTCGCTAAGTTGCCAAGGCTGGCCTCAAACTTATGATCCTCCTGCTTCAGCCTCCTGCGTAGGCATGCACCACCATATACTGCCTGTGTTTCTTTTATCCAACAAGATTCTCTTCTCAGAGAATGGGGTCTCTGAGCCATGAAGATATCTGGGGCCTTTCACCTGCTGTTGCAAGGTTTCATGTGGATTGTACCTGCTCTTTTCTGGTCTTTGAGGGGTTTGCCTTGGGTTTGTCCTTCTTGCAGGTGGACAGAGAATAGAGGGTCTGGTTTCCTTGTTAGCCCAGAGCTGCTGGAGTTTACTGGAGACTGTAAAGAGGGGAGGAGTTGGAGCCTGGGTTTCTCTGACTGAGGCACTAATGAGGGAGTTTCCAGTCTACTCCATGCCCAGTTTCCTCTAAGGCACAGGATAGTCCCTAGGGTGCCAGAGTCCTCTCTTTACAGCCACAAACATACTCTATGGAGAGCAAATGATGACAAAATGAGCCATTGATAAAAAGCTGAACAGATGCTCCCAGCTCTTAGCCTGTCCACAGTAAAGCAAAATAGACCCACCAAATACCTCACTCCTTGTGGAGTGCAAGTATACACAGTGAACTTGCCTCCCCTTTTCTCCTCCCCTGACCCTGGACCTTGGTGTTTGTGCCAGTTTCAGGAGCATGCACAAGCTTCATGCCTTGCTCATCGCTCCCCATTCCCTTCACTGCACACACAGGGTATCAAACAGGAAAGCACTCAGGGAACTGTTCCCACAGTCTGAGCCGGCAGCAGGGGGAAGAACAACACGACCTCACTCTTCCTGCCCAAAATGAAACAGGAAAGCAGCTCTCGGGCCCTGGGGGGCGGGGGAAACTGGGCTGGGACAGAAGGCAAGATGACGAGGCTCCCATGTGGGGGACAGGTAGGACACCCGCAGGACTGCACGTCCACACAACCAGGCTGTGCTGGGCTGCACGAGAAGAGCCTTGGAGTGCTGGCTGCTGGCTAAACTCACTCACCAAAACCTCCCAACATGTTGGCTTCTTGGGCAAAGTGAGGACCATGGATGTGGTGTGGGCTGCAGGTTGGAGCCTAGGCTTTGCTACTTCACCTCAGCAGAAGCCAGGCCAGACACTTGGAGTGCAAACAAGCCACAGCTTGACTCTCCTAGGGATTTCCTGAAGGTCACTGAGGATCCAATCCCTTCTCATAGGAAAGGTACTCGAAGCTTTCCTGACCATTTGAATGTTCAGGTGTACAGATGTACCAGACTAGACCATGACTCTAGGTTAACCATGAATTTCTTTGCATGGGTTAGCAAATGCTCATGTTTGGTGTGCATGCATATTTCACAAGAGAACTCTGAGCTTAGTATCAGTCTGGAGCCAGTATGCTGCCTAGAGAATCAATCTGACCCCACAGTGACCTCCAGCCCTGAGGACAGTGGCTTTTCCAAGACTTCTTCAACTCTACCTGGAGATCACTGTGGAACAGTTAGGGAGGGGCTGTGAAGAAGGCTTGTACAGACAAGGCCTGCCTCAGGGTTGAGCTGGTAAGAGGGCAAAAGAAAAAATGACCGTGGCCCATATCTACTTCCACTTAGGCTAGATGAAGACACTTGACTCAACTGGGTAGTAAGGAGGGTCCATCTCTGACCTGGTCCCACAACGCCCGCCCTCAGTAGACTATTTCCCTGCAGTTCCCCCACAGCATCAGCAGATCCACGTGGCCTTCTACATTCCGGGAAGGGGATGGAAGTGATTCACTCAGGGAACTGTGACTGTCCCTTCCCGGGGAGGTGATGCGCCTGGGAGGTCCCAGTGGCCTTTCCCGAGAGGCCGCGCCCTCCCTCGCGCCCAGGGCGCACTGCCTGGCCCTGTGGCCCGGATAGATCCCGGCAGGCCTGGAGCTGCAGCGGAAGAGACAGGTGCGCCCGCTTGCCGGGGTCAGCCCTCCACCTGCCTCCTCACGACCTGGAGCTCAGAGGCTCCCTGCCCCCCGCGCCCTTTGTTATAGCCCGACTTCCTGTTTGCGGCCGCCGACCCCGGCTCACTTCCCGGGCCGGGAAAACGTCGAAGGCCGCAAGTTTCTCGGAGACTCGCCGGCCCCCTGGGCTCCTCCTCCTCCTTTCCCAAATCCCGCCCCAACCTGGGAGTCCGCGCGGGGCTGCTGCTGCGAGAAGCCGTAGTTGCGAGTGGAACCGCGCGGCCCGAGGTCTGACACTAGAGGGCGCTGTGCGGCCTTGGGGCTGAGGAGGGCTGCCGTCCGGAGCCAACCGTACAGCCGCGGAAAAGCAATGTCCAAGCCGAGGAAAGCTTGAATCTTTTGCGTTTGGGGGCTTTAGAGAGCTCTGTTAGGCTCGGCGCCCCTAAGCCGAGGGGTAAACTGGAGGGAGCCTAGTGCGATACTTTCCTCCAAATATCCCCAGGGATTCCAGAGGAGCAGCAGAGCTGCAGCACCTGCTCTAGCCAGCGCAGCAGCCGCCTCCTGGGCTCGGCCAGTCAGCTCTCCCCCCAACAGTTCTGCCACTTTCATCCAATGGGCAGCCAGAATGGAAGGGAATGGGGCCTGGACAGAAACTGTTGAGTTAGAGGGCTGAAGGTCCCTTCCAGCACCACCCCTTATTGCCAGGTGATCTACTGGGACAAGTCCATCCTTTACTTTCTTCCTTCAGCACGGATTGAGCACTTATTATAAATCAGGCATTGGCGGCAAAACATGTTCTCCCATCCGGGGAAATTAACTATCTTTGACCTTTCTGAAGATAATACTTCTTGTACATTTCTTTTTTTCTTTAATAATCATAGTTGTTTTTTTTAAAAGAGAGAGAGTTTTTAATATTTATTTTTTAGTTTTTCAGCGGACACAACATCTTTGTTTGTATGTGGTGCTGAGGATCGAACCTGGGCCGCACACATGCCAGGCGAGCTGAGCCACATCCCCAGCCCCCATTCTTGTACATTTCTAAGGTTGAAATGAGTTAATATATAACACTTGTGAGCACTGTTTTAGCTCCTGGTTGGTTAATCCTTAAATGTATGTAGGTATACCACTTTCTAGAGCTGCTACTCCCCCTGCCCACAGCACCGAGGTGGGCTCTAGTGGGGTTGGAGTCTGCTTAAATAATCCCAGCAGTAGACTCAGGAGCATGTGAGGCAGTTGCCTCCACTTTTGCTCCCATTTGTGCTGTCTTTGAGGAACCCCGGCTAGGCTGGTCATCCTTCTCTGAAGTGGGCGGTTGTGAAAGGGAGGCCTTTGCTGTGGGAAGGAGCAGCAAGACTCCAAGAAGAGTCACTTTCCTGCACCTGTAGGAGGCTGAAGCAGGAGGACACAAGTTTGAGGCCAACCTGGGCACTTTAGTGAGACCTTGTCTCAATAAATAAATAAATAAAAAGGCCTGTGAACATAACTTAGTGGTAGAGCATCCCTGGGTTCAATCCCTCTAGCTGGGAAAAGGAAAAAAAAAGTCACCTTCCCTCTTGGAGATCTGCCACAAGTTATTTTTTTTGTCACCTTTTCCCTGGCCTCAGGGACACTGCACTCCTTAACACCCTGGCCAAGTGTGGGCTTGGCTTGTTGCCTCCATCCCCAAAGGCTAGGACACAGGGGCCAAAAAGCCAGCCACGGCTACAACTAGGCACAAGGTCTGAGAAGAAACATAGATCCCCCCCCACAACTTTACTCTCACAACACAATAAACAGAACAATTCTGTGACCTCTGGTTACCAAGATGCAAATGGGGATTTCTCCTCACCAGGAACCAATCAATCTTTCTGCAGCAGATAGCAGCTGTGTGTTCTGTAGTTCAATTCAATTCTTACACATCTACCTGGAAATATTGTTGAATCCTATATGTTAATGGTTCAGCTGCACAAGACTTCCCCCCACTTCCAATGCCAATCACAAGTCTGAGTTTGGTTTAATTGTGCTTCCACTAATCAGTTATGAATTAGGGTTCCCATAACCCCTTCCTCCTGTTTGACTAATTTGCTAGAGTGGCTCACAGAGCTTGGGGGAACACTTTAATTACATGTACTAGTTTATTATAAAGGATACAGATGAAGAGATGCACTGGGTAAGATATGAAGGATGGGATGCAGAGCTGCCATGCCCTGTCTGGATGCTCCACCATCTAGGACCCTCCATGTGTTCAGCATTCTGGAAGCTCACCCAATTCTATGCTTTTGGGTTTTTGTGGAGATCTCACTACATAAGCATGACTGATTAAATAATTAGCCATTGGTGATCAACTCAACTTTTAGCCCTTCTCCCTCCTCTAAGTTTGGAGGATGGGGCTGAAAGTGTCAAACCTCTAATCAGGCTTTGATCTATCATCTTGTGACCATCCCTCATCCTGAAGCTTCTTGGCTGCTAGCCATTAGTCAGCTCATTAGCATGCAAAAAGACATTTATTACTTTTTAGATTTCAAAGGTTTTAGGAGTTGTATGCCAGGAAACTGGAGGAAGACCAAATATGTATTTCATAGTGTTGCCAACACAGTAGCATGTACCTTTAATTCCAGCAACTTGGGAGGCTGAGGCAGGAAGATCAAAGGTTCAAGGTCAGCCTCAGCAAGTTGGCAAGGCCCTTTCTCAAAAAAAAAAAAAGGGCTGGGGATATAGCTCAGTTGGTAGAATGCTTGCTTTGCATGCACAAGGCCCTTAAAAAAAAACATTAAAAAAATTAAAAGGACTGGGAATGTAGTTCAATGGTAAAACATTCCTGGGTTCAATCCCTAGTGCCCCAAACCAAAACAAAACAAAACAAAAAAAACACCTTATAGTATCACAGAAGGTAACCAGCTGAGATCTCAGGAATCTTGATTTAGCAACAGGTTGGCTCAGGTCCTGGGCCTGCCTTTTGTCATGACACTTTCTGCAGGGCAGAGCCACAGCCCCAACAGACATGGCCAGCCTGTGTGTCTCCAGTGGTCCCTCTGACTGAGCTCAAATTGGAAGTTTACTTATCTGAAGATTGCTGTCCATTTTCCTCAGAGACAGATATTTGGGCCACACATATCTTCTTAGGCCCAGGTCAGTTTCATACATCCACAGATGGTTCTCTTCTCTCAATGCTCCTCTTTATTTTTCTGCTAAAAAAAAAAAAAAAAAAAAAAAAAACTTAAAGCTTCTGGGATCTTTCTCTTCCCATTAACAGTGGGCTCTGAGGCAATGATATCCCAGCTATTCTCATTTAAGGGGCTTTCTTGGCTGTCCATGGGCCTCAGAGTCTGCACCCTCTCAGAAAATGTTGAACAAATTGAACATTCAACAGTCATACTTCCCCACAGAGCCTGGTTTTCTAGGGTTCTCTTCTAAAGCCATAGCCTGTCACACTGCAGTATTTCTACAGGGTCTGACATTCAGCTTTGAGCCCATGGACACTTTCTATGCAGCCCAGTCACTCTATCATCTCAGGGGTTCACTGAGAGAGAGACCTTAACTTAGGATATGTAGGGATATGTGACACAAAGAGAACTTCAGCATGCTCCAGACAGATTTATTTAGGAAAGCAGATGTACTTTCAAGGGAGAATGCAGACTATCTAATATCTTTGGGGGTAAAGAAATAAACATTCAAGGGATAACTGGGACTATCTTGAGGGTGAGAAGTTTTGGGGGTTACATGAGGAAGACACATTCAAGGAATAATATGAGCCACCTCCAGAGGAAGAGATAGGACCTTGGTCTGTGGTATTATTTATAGAGGGACAGTAACTAAGGCTGAAACAGAGGTGGAGTCAAGGCAGAATTACATAACTTCACAACGGTTTTTCTAGCACTTGTGCAGTGTCCTTGTATTATTTTGCATGCAAGGACATGAGTCAAGGGTGTGGACCAAGGGCTTGGGCCAAGGGCAAGAGCCACGGGCCAGTTTGCACAGGAAAATTTTTGCAATTCAAAGGCTCAGGGCTTTTCCTGCATTCTAACAGCTCACCTGCCCTGTCATTTTTGAGTCTCAGACTATCTTTTTTGTACCCCAAAATTCTTATTCAACTCCACTGAAATGCTCCCCACAGCAGCTTCTCCCTAGCTCTTCAGTTGTTGCTTCCTGCCCACATAAATTATATCTTCATCTCTCCTTGGAATTAGGGGTGCAACTCTCTACCCCAGCCCTCTCTTAGAGCCCTGAACCCTCCCCTTCTAGGTAGAGTAGGACTGAGTTCTGAATAAGTAAAACACTGGTTCCCAGAGGTGCCCTGTCAACTGGGTCTCTCCTTGCTTGGGAGCTGGACGATGGGAAGGGAGCCAGGTTTTCCCACCATCCCATGCACTTCTGTAGGATATGAGTAAATCCTTATAGTCCCTGCTTTTGTGGGCAGAGGGCCAAGCACCTTTCCTGGCCCTGGAGGTAGCTGCATAAGCAGCAGAACTACCCACCTCTGATTCTCTTGTGAGGTGGACTGCTCCAAACTCAGCATGCTGCTCCAAACTTGAGGACACTTGGGGAATAGTAAATGCAGGCAGGGACTTTCATTGACTTCCCTTATCCGCCTAAAAACAGGTCCTCCAGAAGGAGCTCAATTGTCATGAGCCCTCCCTGGAACTTCATCAACCAGGAAGGATTAAGTTTGTATCACAGGAGAGGATGCTGGAGGCCAATTCCATACCCAGGAAGATTTTCATTTCTTTTTTTCTTTGCAGTGCTGGGAATGGAACCCAGCACCTCATCCATGCTAGACAAGTGCTCTACTACTGAACCACAACCCCAGTTCAGTCACAGTTTATCACAGGCTGTCACCTATTCTTCTGATGGTCCATTCATCTTTCTGAAAAATCATTTACCCTTCCCTAATTGCTTACTTCCCTCCTCCCCCCTATCCTGGGTTTTTGGTTATTCAATTTTCCTTCATAAGATGGCTCTGGGCATATAATAAATTTATATGCCTTTTCTCCTATTAATCTGCCTGCTGTCTATTTCAGACTCAATTAATGAACCCTCAAAAGGTAGAAGAAAAGTCTTCCCTCCCCTACTCACTGAGTGGAGGGACTCCACTGCTCCACTTTCCCCTCCTCTTGACAGAATGTTGGTGGAGCTATGTACTCCTTGCACATGGACCAGGAACCTGAGGACACACTTATTTCTCAGAACTCTGTGGGAGGTGTGAGCCTTCATTTATTTTGTTAACTTATTTTAGCAACCCCAATCCTGAAACACACACATGCACGTGCGCTAACATTTACTGAGCATGCCCATGTACCCAGCTTTGGCTAACAAGTTATTTATTTCAATCTTTTTCAGACCCTACAAGGTGCATACTACTACTACTACTACTACTACTATTATTATTACTAATTTCACAGTTGATAAAACTGAGGACCAATGACCACATGGTTAGTACATTGTGGAGTGGGACTCAAATCTGAGCAAGCTGAGTTTAGAGCCTGCGTCTGGGCAGGATTTGCATCCTTCTGGAATCAGCAGCTTTATAAAACAATTTCATGTAAATTAAATTCACCTAATTCCATAACTCCCCCAAACACACCCTTACCTGATTTCAGATAATCATACTTGCTAACAGCAAAAGTTGATCACAGTGTCAGGAATGAGAAGCGAGAAGGAACATATCATAAGGAAATGAGAAGTGACCACCTGCAGGGGAATAATAAGGAAAGAACAATTTGGGAAAAGGTCTAAAAGAGGAAGCCATCACGTGTGCATCATGTGCCAATCATGTGTAACTCTACAAGCTGAAGGTGATGCCTGGGCCCATCACCTCTCCTGAGATGATGGCATCTGTATGGGCATGATATCAGCAGCCTTCTCCTGAAGGGATTTTAGAAGAAAAAATAGGTTGGATTTTTTTTTTTTTTAATTGAGAGGAACCAGCTAAGTGGGTGGTTTGTTGCTTGGGTGTGTCCCACAGGGGAGGGAAGAAGACAGATGTTGTTGGAAAGGAGAAGGAAGGAACGGGAATAGGCAAGCCATGTTCACAGGAAGGTGCTGAAGATCCCCTTGGCTAGCTTTTGTAGAGATCCTAGTTTGAGAAGGTCAAGGCTGAAACTGTGACATGCAGTACATGAGACATTGCCATGGCCTTTATTCTAACTATGTTTGTAGAGAACCTTCTACATGTCAATACTGTGTTGGCTCCCCTGGTCCTTCTCTAAGAGCTCTCAGGTTCATGGAAGGCAGGATGTCCAGTGATTATCAGTGAGGAGACTCAGAGCTGGACCATCTGCCTTTAGACCCAGGTTCTACTACTTACACTGTCGAAGTTAGTAGGTTACTTAACTTTCCTATTGGCTTATCTGTGAACTGATGGTTTACTTCACAAAGGAGGAGAGAAGTTTATAATTAGAATGGATGTAAAAGTGTCTAGCAAACTGCCCCACCATATGGTAAGCATCATGTTTGTTATGAAGTGGAAGGATCAGATAAATAAACAAATGTGTCCTAAGGGGTTGTGGGAGCCTACAGGGGAAAGTGCCTAACTCTGCCTGGAGCAAGTTCAGGTTACTGAGGACAGGAATAAGAAGTCATGAAGATTCTGGGCTTTACTTGGGGTGGGAGAAGGCCAAGAATGAACACCATGTGTAATTCAGTGATAGGGCACCCCTAGGTTTAATCACCAGTATTGAGGGGAAAAAAATGAATATCTTTAAAATGTTACTCAGATGATTCAGATAAGCTGATAGGCCACTACTCCTTAACCCATCAGAAAAGCATCTATTTGCTCTTTTAAGGTAACTTTTCATTATTTAAAAATTGTATTTTGCTGGGTGTGGTGGCACACACCTGTAATCCCAGGGACTTGGAAGGCTAAGGAAGGAGGATTGCAAGTTTGAGGCCAGCCTGGGCAACTTAGCGAAAATCTGTGTCAAAATAAAAAATAAAAATAAAAAGGGTTGAGGATATAGCTTAGTGGTAAAGCACCCCTGAGATCAGTTTCAGTACCCCCCACAAGGTTTAATAATAATCAAATTATTTAATAATAATCAAATTAAATTTCACAAAACTTGGAAATAGAGAAAAGATTCACCCATAATACCAATAGTCTAACACTAGTATTTTTTTTTTAAATATTTATTTATTTTTTAGTTTTCTGCAGAAATAACATCTTTGTATGTGGTGCTGAGGATCGAACCCAGGTCGCACGCATGCCAGGCGAGCGCTCTACCGCTTGAGCCACATCCTCAGCCCTAACACTAGTATTTGATGTCCCAACCTTTATTCCTCATACATCTTTTTTTAAAAATATTTATTTATTTTTGTTTTCGGCGGACACAACATCTTTGTTTTGTATGTGGTGCTGAGGATCGAACCCGGGCTGCACGCATGCCAGGCGAGCGCGCTACCGCTTGAGCTACATCCCCAGCCCCTTCCTCATACATCTTGTTTTTAAATGTTAATCATAGTAAATGTGATAGTTCATATTTTGCATTTTTAAACTATGCATCACTGGCATTTTTACTACATTGTTTTCATAATGAATTTTGATCAATGAACTAGAAATAGCCTTCTTTTTAAATGTTCATGTTCTTTTTATAAAGTTTCATTCAGAATCAGTATACAAAAGAATACGCAAATCTTTTAACTCAATCACTTTGAGCACAAGTGTTCTTCCAGAATTGTTCTAAGCAAATAAGCACATTTAGCCTCCCCTGCTCCCAGAACTGGGGATTGAACCCAGGGCCCCAAACATTCTAGGCAAGTGCTCTCCTCATATCCCCAGCCCCAGCCTTTTTTTTTGGTGGTGGTACTAGGGATGAACCCAGGGGCACTTTACTGACCTACATGCCTAGCCTTTTTTGTATTTTGAGACAGTCTAGTTAAATTGCCCAGTCCAGGCTGTCCTCAGACTTTCGATCCTCCTGCCTTAACCTCTGGAGTCATGGAGATTATAAGGATGTTACTCCATACCCACGCCTATCCCCAGACTTTTAAGTTTAAGAAGTTTTAGCAGGTTATTTTATACCCTGTCTTTTCACTTAATTATACATCACAGACAAATATTTCCATGTCAATCAGTATAGACATATACAATTATTTCTAGTGGCTTCACCAATTTAATGAACTAATCTCAAGTTTATGTAAACATCTATCACTGGATGTTTACGTTGTCCCTGTGCCTGTACATGCTCTGGCACTTGTGTGTGTGTGTGTGTGTTCTTCTCCATCACGTGAATTGACCATAATTTACTTAAACATTTGGCTATTTTTGGATATTTAAGTAGTTTTTCTTTTGTTTTTGCTATAATAAATAACAATGCATTGAAAATCTTCAGACATGTGGCTTTTCCCATATTTTGAATAATTTCCTGGAGTGGAAGTATTGGGTCAGAGGGCAGGGACATTTTATGGTTCTTGATTGTATCACTAAGCTGCTTTCTCAGAGGGTTGTTTGGGCCTGTTCAGATACTTCCAGCAATGTGCTGTTATCAGCTTCCCATTTTCCATTCACTTACAAAGGTGGTGAGAAGAGAAGAGGATATTTTTTTCTAAGCAAAGGAGGTGCTCAGGTGGACTAACAGGAACAGATAGGGAGAAAAAAGGATAGAGTGAACCTGGGGAACAGGCAAAGAGAAAGAGAAAGGAGTGACCAGAAAAGACCATTTTGTTTGAATTATTTTCCTCATGTTCATTGTAAAGAACCCAGACTTTTTCATAAATTAGAATTTACTACACAAAATCCTCCTTTGAGGGCTGGGATGTGGCTCATTGGTTAAGCTCCTCTGAGTTAAATCCATCCCTAGTACCAAAAAAAAAAAAAAAAAAAAGCAAGCAACCAAACAAGGAAACCCAGGCCTCCTTTGATGTCAGCTTACAATTTAGGTACCATCTTCAGTATTTTTTCTTTCTTTTTTTTTGGAACCCATGACCTTGAGTTTGCTATGTAAGTACTATATCCCTGAGCTATACATACCCCCAGCCTTATCTTCAGATTTTTACACAAATACTACTGAAAATCTTGTGAGTATTTTTGTTTGTTTTCCTGGTGCTGGGGATTGAACCCAGGGCCTCCTGCATACTTGGCAAGTGCTTTACTACTGAGCTACACCTCAGCCTTCATCAGATCAATAACTTTTTTTTTTTTTGGTACCAGGAATCGAACTCAGGGGTTAAGTAACCAATGAGCCATCTCCCCAGTCCCCCTTCTTTTTTCTTTCACTTTTTTTTTTTTTTTTAAATTTGAGACAGGGTTTTGCTATGTTGCTCAGGGCTTCACTAAGTTGCTGATGCTGGCCTGGAACTTGCAATCCTCCTGCCTCATTGTCCCCAGTTGCTGGGATTACAGACCTGTGCCAAGATACCCGGCCTAATAACTTATTTTTAATTTTTTAGTTCTTAATAGAACTTTATTTATTTATATGTGGTGCTGAGAATCAAACCCAGTGCCTCACACATGCCAGGCAAGTGTTCTACCACTGAGCCACAACTCCAGCCCCCCAATAATTTATTTTTAAAGGTATAGCTTCCTGCTACACACTCACCTTTGGAATGAATACAATCACTTAGTGTGCAGATAATGTTTAATTTCAATAATTAGGAACTGAACTAATATTGTCCACTTCCCCTGCCAGAGGGCTCACCCTAACCTCAACAACAATCTCTGGGAGTCAGTTCCACCCGGGGAAGGCCTTCTGCGGCCTCTGTTTCTCTTTTTTAATCAAAAACACCCCCATCTGGCAGCCCCTTTCTACTGCTTAAGGAGTTGATCCCAGATGGCCTGTGGGACTCTCCACTGGGTGGTGAGTAGCCAAAGGAAAAGGCCTGTAGCTGCTGGCAGTGCATCACACCTCAGCGCCTAAGGATTAACCATTACCACAAATTCTCAAGTCTGGGAAAAGCTAAACCCATGGCCTTAGGGCAAAGCTGGTCTGGCGTTCACGTTAAGGCCTTTCACCACAGATGCCCGGGGAAGCCAAAGTGACTGCTGTCCCAATCGCTCTGGCTGGATCTTCCTCAAACCTGCCTGAGCTCAGGAGGTTCCACACCCGGCCCGGACGTGGACCTCACGTGAGGTCTGCAAACCTTGACTGCCTGACTTGACTCAACCGCAGCCTCTGTAGAACCCCTTCGCGCCCCCGTGACTCAGTTTCTCCATTTGCTCACGCGAGCCAACGGCGTGAGGCACCGGAGTGGAATGCGGACGGTGCTTCCTACAGCTTCCTCGCTGTCGGCCGTGGGTGCGTGCTCTCAGGAGTTTACAACGCCCAGAGTGCTCATTCTGGCTGTGTCCTGCTCCGGCCCCAGGACAGTCTTGGGGTGGCAGTGACTCGGCCACATCACCCGCAGGACTGCTGAGGAGACATCGCCTTAAACCCACCAGCTATGGCTCCTGCATGGCCCGGGCCAGGAGGAGTTGCCAAGGAGAAGCCCACTGCCCGTGACCACGCCGGGCCCATGCCCACTGCCCGCCGCCTGACGCAATCCGAGGCGCCCTTGCTGCATGCGGGCGCTGGGGAAACCTTCGCTGCCGTTGCATCACTTCTGCCAGGTTTGCCACGAGGTGGAGCCGAACCAATCAGCGAGCGCACTGAGCCCGGGGCAGGCCACTCAGCCACCCACTTGAAGAGTAGCGCGGTTAACCGAGAAGCAAAATCCGAAGATGATTGGCCCAAAGAGGATTTGCCCCGCCCCAATCACCGCGGCAGCTGGCCGCGGCGGGCGGGGGGGGTCCCTCCGCCGGAGGGTTTAAAGGGCACCTCCGTGGGGGCCACTCAGCTGGAGCGACCGACCGGTGCCAGGCCAGGTGTGCGCGTCCGTCGGTCCTTCCGTGCCCGCGCCGGAGACCAGCCCCGGAGGCCGCCCGGGCCCGTCCCTGTGCCCGGCACCATGAAGCAAGAGCCTGCAGCCCAGAACACCCCGCCCCCCTCGCCGTCTCCGAACGCATCCGCGCAGTACCCCCAGGAGGATGGCGACCCTCCAGCACTTTGGATTTTCGGGTATGGCTCCCTAGTGTGGAGGCCCGACTTCGCTTACAGTGACAGCCGTGTGGGCTTCGTGCGAGGCTACAGCCGCCGTTTCTGGCAAGGAGACACCTTCCATCGGGGCAGCGACAAGATGGTGAGAATCTGACTGTGCCCAGGGGGGTGAGGGCGGTGGGTAGCATTGTGGGCGCCGGTGCCCTGGAATAGCCTGGGCTCTCTGGGCCAATGTGTAAAACTGTGTCTGGCTTTGTGGCTTAAATTTGTGTGCCCAAGTGATCACTGTGTGATTGATGCCTGGAGTCGGTAAACCTGTGGATCCCTGGGTTGATTACCAATCTGGACCATTGCCATCTATCTGCCTTACTATTTCTCCTGTATCCCTACATCACTCGCTGCTCATCCCTCTGTATGAATAGGACTCTCTGAGTCCTAGCCAACAGAATGATAAGGTTTTCTCTGCGTTGATGGCAGAACTGATTTCTAACTTGTCTTTCAAAATCTTCCTTCCCTCCCTAGCCTGGTCGTGTGGTGACCCTCCTTGAAGATCGTGAGGTAAGTGCTCTGGGAAAAGGGGGACCCAGCACCCAATGTGGAAGGGTGCCACACACAGAGCTTTTTGGGCCCATGACTGTAAGCTATAGCTGTTGCTTGTCTGGCAGAGTGGAAGTATGTTTTGGCTCAGTGTTTCTCAGAGTTATGTAGGATCTGCAGAATTTAATTCAGTAGGATTGGAATGAGGTCTGAGGTGCACCATTTCTAACAAGCTTACAGGTGATGCCATTACATGTTTCTGAACCACACTATGAATAGAAATCCTGTCCTCCCTGGGATTAGACCACCTTTTAAGAAAAGAGGCATAAGCCAGGCCTGGTGGTGCACACCTGTTAACCCAGGGAATTGGGGAAGTTGAGGCAGGAGGATCCCAAGTTTGAAGTAAGCCTGGGCAACTTAGTGGGACCCTGTCTCAAAAAATAAATAAACAAGAGCTGGAGTTGTAGCTCCGTGGTAGAGTGCTTGCCTAGCAAGTATGAGGCACAGGGTTTGAACCTGAGCATCACTTAAAAAAATAAATAAATAAAATAAAGGTATTTCCATCTACAACTAAACATATTTTAATAAAAATAAATAAGCAAGCAAACAGATATATAGAGTGGAGTTATAGCTTGGTGGTAAAGCAGCCCTGGGCTCCCTAGTACCACCACAAAAAAGAAAAAAAAAAGTACAGTCCTTGGGTCACGGGGGGTGGGGTGGGGGTGGGGGAATATCATTCTGTAATGAAGGAGGGACCAGCAAACAGTTGCTGTGACTGATCAGAAATATCTTTATTTCCTCCTAGGGCTGCACTTGGGGTGTGGCATACCAGGTCCAAGGTGAGCAGGTGAGCGAGGCCCTGAAGTACCTGAATGTGCGAGAGGCAGTGCTTGGTGGCTATGACACCAAGGAAGTCACTTTCTATCCTCAAGATACACCTGATCAACCACTCAAGGCATTGGCTTATGTGGCCACCCCACAGAACCCTGGCTACTTGGGCCCTGCTCCAGAAGAGGCCATTGCTACACAGATCCTGGCCTGCCGAGGCTTCTCTGGTCACAATCTTGAGTACTTGCTGCGTCTTGCAGACTTCATGCAGCTCTGTGGGCCTCAGGCCCAGGATGAGCATCTGGAAGCCATCGTGGATGCTGTAGGCACCATGCTGCCCTGCTTCTGCCCGACGGAGCAAGCTCTGGCGCTGGTCTGAGGGGCTGAGCCCCTGCAGGGAGTGCCCATGTGGACATCAGGGCCAGGTGCCCACCACAGTGCTTGATACAAACTTGATACAGCTAGAATTCCTGAGATGTCATGGTAGACAACTGGGGACTTCTCTTCCTAAGCCCCTGTCAGTCTGCCAGCTTCTAGCTCTCCTGCTTGACACTGACTTCTGAACACTTTATTTATTGCACCATGTTGGTGTGGTGGCAGGGTGGGTGGGGGGGGGGCCTGCCCTGGACATGGCCCTGCTGCGCAGTGGCTCCACCTCAGGCCCTGGTGCCTGACCAGATTTCCCTCATTGCTGCTGCTAACCCCACACTACACAGGCCTCCACCTCTCCAGGGAGCCTCTAAGAGCCTTGATTTTCTGTCCATCCAGACCAACCATTTCCCAGCCTTGGAAATATTACCTGCCCAAGTTCCCAGCCAGCAGGAGGGGCAGTGGGAAGTGAGCAGAGGGAGCCCTACAAGGACTCAGTCCCTTTCCAATCCCACTCACCCACTAGAGTCCCAGGGCAGAGCTGGATCTGTTGCCTAGACAAAACTGCTGAGACTGGGCCTGGGCCTCTTACCTTTTGGGTTTTGTTTCTCCGACTCTGTCTCCTTGTCTGTCTGGACCACTTTTGTGTATCTGTTGGTCTGTTTCTGGGAAGCTCATCACCATAGGCCCTTGCTCCTTCCCTGTCTGTCTCATACTGTTATTCATAAATTGATCTCTTATTATCTCTGCTGTGCTGGGATGTGCTTCTTTCTTTACATGAGGGTTGGGGTAAGCAACAGGTATACCCTAGAAGTTTCCTAGGAGGGAAAAGGCTTGGACCCTATACCAGGTCTTCCTTCAGCTGCAGGGCCAGCTGCTAGCTCTTCCTGGCAGGTGGGCCAGAACTCTGGCTTCCTACTAAAGGAGCATGTGGATTAGGGTATGGGGATGACAACTTCTGGGCAACACTGACAGTGGGATTCTGTGGCCTGTAGGACCTGAGGTCCCTTTTACTTCCAGGGTCAGAGTGCTCACAGCTGCCTCCTGGGGCTGCAGTTATTGGCTGTCCCTTCTTCTGTCTCAAGCTGCCAAGACTTGCCCATATTGGGATAAGTTGTAAGATGCTCTCTTGTTGCTGCATATTTACCCCCTGCCTCTCCCTGTGTACTCTTCCTCAGGTTCTGGCTCCAGGGAGGTCACAGTACCTAGATGTCAGCCTGGTCTGCCCCTCTTTAACAATGAATGGCTCCTATGAGGGTCTCCTGGACCTGCAAGATGGGAGTGGGGCCAAGATGACAGGATTTAGCAGAAGAGTCTCTGTCCAAACCACCCCTTCCTTCACTACCTAGAGACCTCAGAGAAGTACCTAGCTCTCTGAGCACTTCACCCTATGAGGGGACAGATCCCATGAAATGATGGATGGGGACAGGCTGTGTGGTATGTACTGCTGTTGTGGCCAGTGCCCTGGATTGGTCTGGTGTCCCCAGCAGGGTCAGTTCCGATCAAGTTGGGCAGGTGTTGTGCCTGGGGAGGGTGCCATGCTGAGTCGTGTGCCCATGTCTTGGCAGCCTTGTAATCTTAGCCATTGATGGGAAAAGTGTGGAGTTCAGCCAGGTTCTTCTGGGAACCTGGTCAGGACAACACAACAAGTGTGTGACAGAAATCCCTGGGCAGCCACCTCTGGGGCTTCCTGCATCAGAGCAGAGCCTGGCTCTAGACTGGAGGTTGAACGGGGTGGGGAGGGCTATTTGTCAGCTAAACATGTTCCTCAAGTCATTGTGTCAGGCACTGTTCTAGGCACTGGGGATACAACAATAAAAGGGTCTTCTCTCTCTTTCTTTTTTTTTGGTGGTGCTGGAGATTGAACCCAGGGCCTCACACATGCTAGGCAAGCACTCTACCACTGGGCTACAGCCCCAGCCCAGGATCTTCCTCCTTAAGGAACCTGGAGTCTAGAACTGATGGTGACCATTCCATATGAAATGGGAGCAAGTCGAAAGGAGCCCTGAGCTGAGTGAACAGGCAGTCAGGGAAGACTTTCTGGGGGAGGGAGCCTGAAATGGGACCTCTGGGAACAGGGAGTCAGAGAACAGCATGTGCTTGACTGGGAGACAAGGTCAGACAGGCTGGCCCAGCAGCAGGGGAGGGGACATGAGGCTGCATAGAGGGAAGGACTGGGGCCAGCTGCCCTAGTGACTGTGCTGGGCTGTGCAGGTGGCATTCCTCCTGGGTCAGTGGCGGACCTCCAGTGGATTCTGGTGTGCTAATGAGGAAACTCTGGTTGCTGTGTCACACTGGAGGAGGAAGGCCAGTCAGCAGGAGGTGACGGTGCGAGCCATGGCAAGAGGCATGGGCAGCAGTGTGGATCTGAGTGTGATTTAGGGGTGAGATTGATAGGATTTGGTGACAGACTGGTTGAGCAGAGTGAGGGTCTGAAGATATAGTAGGGAAAAGCAGCTCAAACTCAGGCTCAGTTTCTTCTACTAAACAATACAGACCACTTCGGAGCCCAGATGTGGGTGGGTTTTCCCTACACACTGAGTAAGCAAGCAATTCTGTAGCAGGAACCCAGCAGGGTGTCCTGGAAGCCAATTTGATTCTGACACTCCTGGTGATCCCACAGGCTGAGGGTTCAGTCCCCAAGACCAACCCCTCACTTCTGATGCCAGGAGTACACACCAAGTTTTTGCTTTTGTTTATTTGTTTTTGGTACTGGAGATTGAACCCAGGAGCTGTTACCACTGAGCCACATCCCCAGCCCTTTTTATTTTTCATTTTGAGACAGGGTCTCTCTGAGTTGCTTAGGGCCTTGCTAAGTTGCTGAGGCTGGCTTTGAACTTGTGATTCTCTTACCTCAGTCTCCCAAGCCTCTGGAATTATAATCATGTGTCACCATGCCAGCTTCTTCAGCTTCTTCAGCACTCCTTCCTTGCAGCTATGGATCGGGACCCCTTCAGGGGGTCTTATCATCTACTATCAGACATGTCAGAGAATGTTAGAGTTTCTATGACCTATCTTGGAGAGGGAGTTATGAGCCAGGCACTATGAATGAAAACATATATGTATATCATCATATCATAAAGGTGAGGGTAGAGCCAGGAGGGCCAGGCTCCTTGGAACCGGAAAGGGAAGGGTAAAGATCTACCCTGGGCATAAGTTGGGGTTGCCTGTGGGAGAGGCCATCCACATGGATGTTGGGGGCAGCTAGATATGTTGCTGTGAAACACAGGAGAGAAATCTGGGCTAGAGTTGTATTAGATACATGCAATTGGTGCTTGAGGCCATAAGGGGAGGGAAAAAGAGGATGGGGCAGGCTTAGTGTTGAGGTCCCCAGGCCTGGCGGTCTGAGTAAAGCAAGAGGAATTGGGAACACAAAACTGGAGGGTAAGAGGAGAACCAGGAAAGAGATGGGTGTCTCTAGGAGTGTGAAACATTGTTATGCTGCCAGGATGTTGAGGTAAATGACAGAGGAAAGTCCACTGGATGAAACACCAGCGGGTCCCTGGGGGGTCTCAGTGTGAGGAACTGCAGGAGCAGTGGTGAGAAGCCACAAGGCCAGGCCCTCCTGGGCCAGTGGGGGAAAGCAGATGGGTTTCAGATGTGGCCACCAAGAGGAGAGAGAAGCAAAGGGGTGAGTGAGGATGTGGGAAGGTGTTGGGGTCTCAGGACCCCTTTACAAAAAGATTGTTGAAGACCCTGAGGGTTTTCTTTATGTGGAATACAGTGTTCCGTATTTACTATGCTAGAAATGGAAAATGAGAGGTTTAAAACATACTCAAAATTAAAAATAAAAACAAGGGGCTGGGGTTGTGGTTCAGTGGCAGAGTGCTTGCCTAGCACAAGTGAGGCACTGGGTTCGATCCTCAGCACCACATTAAAAAAAATTAAAAATGAAAACAAGGCTGGGGTGGGGTTCAGTGGTAGAATAAATGTTTAGCTTGCATCAAGCCCTGGGTTCAATCCTCAGCACTGAAAATAAATAAATAAATAATAAAAATTTAAATAAATAAATACATAAATGATTACATACATACAATAAACCAGCTACATTTTACTTTTTTCTCTCTCTTTTTTGAGATGAGGGGGAGGGTCTCACTATATTGCCCAGGCTGGCCTTGAACTCCTGGGCTCAAGTTATTCTTCTGCATCTCTTGAATGCTAGGATTACAGGCATGTACCACCATGCCTGGAACATGTTTAAAACGTTAGTTAAAATTTAAAATATGTTTTTTCTTTTTGGTACCAGGGATTGAACTCAGGAGTACTCAACCACTGAGCCACATCCAAAGCCCTATTTTGTATTTCATTGGAGACAGGGTCTCACTGAGTTGCTTAGCGCCTCACAGTTGCTGAGGCTGGCTTTGAACTCGCGATTCGCCTGCCTTAGCCTCCCAAGCCTCTGGGATTACAGACCTATGCCACTGCACCCGGCTACATGTTGACATTTTTAGAGAAAAAAGATTGTACTTATCAAAGCAAAGTAGTGAAAAAGTGGCTTTATTTTTTATTTTTAACGTCTGGCTTAATTGAACCTGCTGAGAGCTCATCTGCTCTTGCATCCACTCTGTTGCAGATTCACATGTAGCTTCTAGAAAACTCTACCATGCACTGCTAAGGAAAGAGAGAGAAGACAACCCCTTGGTTTTATTATAGACATAGTTTTGAGTTTACATTCACCTGAGAGGTGTTTGGGGGACCCTTAGGGGTCTCTGAGCCAACTTGGAAAACTTCTTATGTCCTTTTTTAGTTGAGTCTTGAGAGGGGTGAAGGTTGGGTGCCCCACTTTGGACATCAGCAATGAGGAATTTCAGAGTTAATAGAGACCTCAGAAATCATCCTGTCCATCCCGCCAGGGCATCTTCCTGGACAACCAGGAGTTAGTGGGAAGGATAAGTCAATTCAATTGCCATTTGTTGAGTCTGCAACAGGCAGGAGGGCCCTTGACCTCCAGCTGTGGGAGACAGACAAACAGCCCCACCCTCGCACCTGGAACTCTGGGAATGGGGCAAAGCTGTTCTGCTTCACTCAGTGAAGGGCCTTCAAGAAGTGGTAGGAGCCCAACAGGTGGAGAGGCCCTCCAGGAAAGGAGGGAGGCACTGCAGGACTTGGCATGCAGCTGAGTGGTAGAAACTTTGGGGTGTTAGAGAGGAGACCGGAAGCCACCTTGGGGTCAGATGTAGAAGGAAGTGTTAGGCGTTTTCTTGCAGGAAAGTCAGTTCTGTGGTGATGTTTTTGTTTTTTCATGTTTTTCCTCCCACAGAAGGATCTTTTGTTTGTTTTTGTTCTGTTTGTTTTGTCTTCTTTAAAGTAGGCGGGCATGAGTGTTGTGTTCAGGCTATGGTGAAACTTATGCTTGTAGTGGGGAAAAGATAGGTTGCAGGCTGCTAGAGCTGAGGAGCCTGTTGTGACTCCCGTTCTGGGCAAGGATTGGTGAGGGCTGGAAGAAAGCCAAGGACCTGAGGGCATTGGAGGTGCCTGCTTCTTGGCAGCTAGTTGCAAATGTGAGGCACGCAGTGGGGAGGAGGCTTTGCAGAGAGGACAGGAACACCAGCCAATAGGAGCTGTGGACAGATAAGAGGATGTGGCAAATACGTCTGGTTTCTGTGTGTCTTTCAAGCTCTGAGGGGCTTCTCCTGGTTGACCCCATTGGGCCACAGGAAGGATCACATTTTTCTGGGGGCTGTGGTTCTCCTGAAGAGAGTAGCTGTGCCCATATCAGTTGTCAGAGAAGCAGAGAGTGGGTGGCTTTGGTTATTAGTAGAGCCAGTGGCTATCAGAGGGGCTTGGTCAAAGCCTGCGTGGCTGTGCTTGTCCTCTGCCCTCCTCTCTATAGGACTGAACCCTTCACCTGCCCCCCTAGTGGCAGAGGCCCAACTCAGGGCACAAAGCCTGAGGTGGCAGCCTGTCCTTCCTTCTGGCTCCCTGTGGAGAGTCCCCACCAGGCCTGACCTTCCTCACACTTCCCCAGTCCAGGCCACCTCAGGCCTCAGCCCTACTCCAATCATTTCCTTAGGTTTGGGAGCTTGACACACTGAAGGTTCAGCTAGGTTATCAGCCCTTCTTGGTAGCGCCTTCTTTACCCTGGGCCTCTCTCTTCCCACCCTCTCAGCTGGGGACTGTGTGCACACTCCTGACTTTCACCCTTTGGAGCTCTCCTCCTCTGACTAGCACTTTAGTCCCTGTTCTTGGCTTTGTTCTGGATCCTGCCCATTATCCTGGCATCTCCTTGGTGGATTTATTTTCCACATTATTCAAGATGCAAATCTGGCCACACACAACCCTCCCACTCTGATGGCCTCCAACATTGATTTCTGGCCCTCAGCACAAGTGTCACAGCACCCTGGACCCAGCGTTCCTGGCAGTAATGCCCACCCTTGACCCTTCCACCTTTACCCCTGTAAACCAATCTGCCTGTCATCTCCTCCTGCCTTGCTCCATTTCCAACCACTTGGACTCTGCTCCCACTGCTATCCCCACCTAGGCGCCCTTCTGACAGACACCTTCTCCCACCTTTCATCACCAAATGTGGCACCTTGCTGCTGCTGTGTCCAGTGCAGTCCTGCCATCTCTGTCCACTTCTGTTTTGTGCTCAGCATGTTGTATGGACAAAATCTGCTTGTAGTTCTGTCTCTACTAAATCAAACGTCCCCAAGGGCCAGAACTATGTATCCCAGCACAAAGCACAGCACCAGACCCTGGGGGAGTGGGAGCACAGGGGACATATGGGAAATGACTCTTCTACTCTGTTTTGTTTGGTTCTGAGGTGATGGGAATTGAAGCCAGGGCTTCACACATGTTAGGCAAGTACTCTACCGCTGAGCTACACCCCCCAGCCTTT